GCTTTTGCTTTACCTATTAAACTGTCTTTATCTCAACCCACGAGTTTTCTCACTTTAACTCTTCCAATTCTCTTTCCCATCCCGATGGGGGGGAGTGAACGAGCGGCTGCGTGGTACTCAGCTGCCGGCTGGGGTAAAACCACGACAATAATTTTCACTAAATTTATGGTGTGAGAGCAGAACATTAAGCAGTCCCTTAATAAAAGGGAGCATTGGTCCTTTACAACCACATCCATTAATTGTTACTGGCATGCAAAAACCTGGGAAGGAATATAAACAGGGTTTCTACAAAATAGATGATTCTTTCAAGCAGATTTCAGAGGAACAGAATCAAAGCTTTCATGATCCAAGACCATAGAACAAAATGGTCACATGTTGCTAGAACAACAGTTATATATAAAACATTGCCATGTAGTCTCACAGAAGTCATACTGAAAGAAATAAGCATGAAGAGATAAGGAGGTCTTCCATGTCTCATTCAGCAGAGATCCATATGGACGTCTTATGTCCACTGCCTAACATTTTAATACTTATAATCTTCTATCCTGTATTACTAATAAACTTCTCAGGATCATGATTGGAACAGAGAAAGTGCAAATAATGTAGAGAGTGTGTAATGAACACTTACGCATCATCATCCAAAAATGTCTTTGTCATTATGTTATGTCTAGAGGGTTGTGTGACCTTACAGAGGCTGTTTGTCCAGGAGAAGAGAGAACCCTTAGTATTTCCAGCAGTGTGAACTTATAAGGGGAACAGTGCTTTTGGACACTGCATCTTCTTGATAACAGGAAATAATTTTCCTAAACATCTTCATAAACAGTACAAAATGCTGCAATCTTAATACTTAACTACTCCCTCTGCTCTCTGGATATCACAGAAGAGAAACCCTCCTTTTCAGTCGTAAGAACACGACATATCCTGAGAGCAAAAACTGAGGCTTAAAAGAATACAAAATTGGATTTTTTGCCATGCATCTATTCAGCTGAAAGAAAGAATTCCCAATCTTTCTGATGATTATAATCTTAAGTATTTTGGGGTGTGCTATAAAGAGAAGGAAGTATTTCTTCTTCTGCCAAATGCAGTAGGCAAAATACAGTTTCTGATTTCTTTGAGATGTTTAGCCATTTTGAGGTATCCCAAAGTTATCCTCTCAGTTCTAGAAATCCCACTTAGTTCAGCTTGGCAAATACTGAGCATCTGATGGGGGTGCTCTGTGGTTTGAATGGGTTATACCTTATACTATAACTATATATTGTAACTATATGCTATAATGGTCTGTTTCATGTACTGTTGGCTCTCGAAGTAAGCAAGGTTAAGGCTAACTGGTATGTGGATATGTTGCTATAAGAAGCCTATGAGTAAATCCCACAAGAAAGGTTGTAGCTGAGCCCGCAGGGATTATTCTGCTTGTTTGTGTGAAGCTTAAGAGTTGATATAACAAATACCTTACTACTGGAGAAAGAGTCCTCATCAGCTGCAGGCAAACCTATGCTCGTTCTTGTCTAGTCAAGTGAGATGATAGTCTCGTTTGGCATCGACAGCATAACGTAACAGCAGTGAGGATGATCAAAATGACAACAGGAATGAGGCAATGTACTGCATGATGATCCTGCCTACTCCTCTCTCCCTCGCATCCTCAACGTTTGCATGACTTCAGATACACACCAAGAATGCACTTCCTCAAATATGGAATTTCCCCCAGGTTATATCTGTACTGAACCTCTTGCCAATCAGAGCTGGAATCTCGGTTTAAAGGCTCGTTATTGTATGATCTTGGAATACTAAGAAAAACCCAAGGCCCCAAAACATTAGTTGTCAAATGAAAATTTGACTAGTACATGTCTGGAATGGCTTATTTGAATTCCATGCTAGACATATCTGTACTTCGTCATCATGACATAATCCTAGCATACCTTATCCCTCTTTCTCCAATGCTTTGAAGGTAACTTAGGCTCTAAACTATGAGGGATTGAAACCATTTGCATATTGTGTGTACCTTGAAGCACTTTCTGTACTATAATATAACTGTAGGTCTATGTACGAGGAAAAACTCATGAGCAGAAGACCCAGACAAGCATGTAAGTTCAAGCCTTTGCAATTCAATGAAAAGCAAAATACAGACAAAAACATATACTGAAGACAAAATAAATAAGAATTGGTTTTTTTCCTGTTTTCATTGAAAGTTCAGCATATACTGCACCACTGAGCGTGGGAGCACAGCGAATTCTGTGTATTGATGGTGCTGAGATTTTAAAACAGGATTTTACAGATGTTACTTCCCATATTTGCATTTCCCCATGGTCTTTACCACAAGTGTTTACCAGACAAATGGAATGGCATGACACTCTATTGTAAGGGTTTATGTCAGAAAACCAAACCCAACTTTCTCTCTTGTATTCCAAAATTCTCCTAGCTTCCTTCCTCATTATAATGTGACATGATGTGCCACACAGTCTTCCTATCAAATCTGCCAAAAGCCAATCTGTTGTCATTTCTGAGTAAATAGAGGATGTTTGCACAGACCCTTGAAGCTATAAAATGAGATTTTTGATGTTGCTATTTTCCACTGTATATCTTTAAAGTTCTAATTTAATAAAGGACAAAGAAGTAAGATTTTATACATTTCGCTTTGTAACTGTATCTTAGTTCTTAGGCACATGGTTAAATACTGAACTCTGTCTGATCTTACAAATTGCAGGAGTTCCCAAATTCTCACTGGCAATTTAGCACTATACTTCTCTTGAAATTTAGGCTGAGTCTTTAAATGATACCCAGTTTGGCAATTTTGAGGTAACAGTATACAACACTGCAAAGGGACAGGTTTTTGCTTACTGGGTGTGTTCTCAGTGCTGCTGGAAAGTGCACTCCTCAGGTGCTTCGGGGAGAGGCTGTGAAGTTTAGAGCCATGCTGAGTCAATATGCACTTCTGGGGAAGGCTTTGTCCATGTTCCTGTTGATCAAATGCAAGTACTTTACAGGGGAAAAACAACACAGTCTACAGTCTACAGCTATGATTTTTTATGATTTGAAAAATAATCTATGTCATTAATGGATTTAGTGACTCAGTTAATCTAGTGTGTTATCTGGATTAAATGAAAAACTAGTATCTCTTTGGACTATCAGACTATGCTATCTCTAAATTAGTTTTGAAGCAATTTGTAATGACAGAATACTTAATTGTCATCCATTGCCCCTCAACATTATTGGAAGGAGTGGACTCAGCAGTCACTTCAGCAGTTTTACTTATTCTTGCTTTCATGCTCAAGTATTAAGCTTCCACTATTACCTGCCTACATCCGTGCAACCCTTATGGAAGCAGTTATGGTTCTGTATCTGAAAAAAATCAGTGATTTTGGACTCTCTCAAAATACAAAACCCCTGTGGATTTATGCCCAGATTACCTCGGTTGAGAGACTAATCAGTGCGAGCCTACTATCAGATTTACATGTAAACTGCGTCAAAGACCCTGGCTTTCTGTCTGGGGCTTGGCTGATGTGCCAGTTTGCTCAAATATTTAGGCTGGTCCTATATTGCTCAGTACAATCCAACCTGAGAGGTCTTTGTAGCACAGTCTGGAGTTGTGTTTGCAGTGTGTTTTTCTCATAAAAACAACTGCCAAACAATTGTTTTCCAAAACTTAAATGTGTTTCTAATTTATGGAAATTTGAAGTTGCTTAGGACACAGACCCCCCCCCCCCCCCCCCAAACCAACCAGCACAAGCATTCCAGACTTTAAAGGGAACAGAATTAATGCAGAGGGGACATTAGCTGTGGAAAACAGTGCTGAGCATTTTTAATCCTTCTTTTCAGACTTTCTTCTTTTTAAAAAGAAGATTTGTAAAGCTTACTAATCACCTTGTCCACCAAACAGCAATGACTGCCATGATCAAGGCTGTAGGTGCGGACGGGGGGAGGAGAGAAAGGAGAAAGGGAAAGGAAACCAATGCGTCCGCACTTCCACCACTGTCCTTACCCGTTGGCCACGGATGGAGTGCTCACTGACATATCCTCCCCACCCCAGCACAGATGCTTTCAGCCCTCAGGTTCTTACCGCTGGAGTGGTAGAGACTCCACATCCGCACATTGCTTTTCCTTTCTGTTACCTAGTTCTTTCTGGAAATTCCCACAGCAGCAAAACACAAGAGGGAACTCCGCCTTTGGTTAGCATAAGTGCAAACATACTTCTGTGTTATCAGGTATAAGATTAAGTTAAAAAAAATAATAATCTACAGGCACATGGACTGGAATGCCTCTTCCATGCTTG